TGACATTGACACAATAAACCAACTCCTATTTGTGCGTACATCTAATATCTATGTTTCTTTTCTTTGTCCAAAACTGCCGGGTTCCAGGGGCTAGCCATGTGGCCAGCATCGCTGTGCCTGACCTGCAGGCATCAAGGGTCCTTGGCGGAACTAATTACTTGCAAAACTTCTCGCAGTTGCCACACTTGGAATGCCTGTTCAGCATTGCGGGGCAGTCACATCGCACGCAGACGCAGTTCCAGGAGCGCACCAGGCGCCGGATCATTTTGGCCATTTTGGTCCTTCGCTCGGCGGTTTGGGGGCCAGCCTTGTCAGCGAAGCCGGCGAGAGTGCACATGGTGGCGATTTGTGTTTTCTTTTTCCTGTTTAAGAAGAGGAAGCAGAGGGCTTGCGGTGCTGAAGACTGGCAGGTGTTCTGGTGTTGTTTAGATGTTGGTGATGTCTGGGTCAGCTCCTTGACGGGGTTGCTTGGGTACCAGGATAGTACTTGCTTGACAGCGGTGCTGGGGTGCTCGGGAAAGATGGGGAGCTTGGTGGTATCGTTTGGGGACTTGATGTCGTTGCTTAGGTTGATGATTGAGGGTGTTTAGGTGTTTGGGTGTTTGGGTGAGGGTGGAAGAGAGAAGTTTTGCAGTCTTGGACGAACGAAGACGGCTTTTATATCTCGACAAACCGGACGTCGGTGAATGAACTGCTGTTGCTGTTAGCTGGACATCGTCTTGTTTTCGTTCACAGCGACCACTTGCCAGAGAGCTAGTGGCTTAGGCATATCATAGACGGTAAGGGTGACTTTGCGGCGGCAAACAAGCGCAGTGATTAAGAGACAGGTCACTTGCGTAATCATTGTTCTCAGAATCTCACCGCCCTCTAATCTGATCTCACTGCCTGCCTGTCTTTGATCATCCTCCTAACCAGCTGCTTCACCCTCTCGGACACTAAGTTGTGTTCTGTGGATTTGACGAGTTTCCTCCTGTCCGCATCGGCCCAGTTGCGCATCTCGAGGGTGGCTGTTGACACGCGCGTGCGGTGCTCGGGACGGCGGATGTATGTGAGGTCGCCAGAGAACATTTCTGTAGGTGAAGAGAGATTGGATGAAAGAGAAGGTGAATGTTTATGCGTGCATGTGTCGAGGGCGGATGTTATGTTATGTAGTTGCTGGGTGTGGTTCTATTGTCAACCCGTTGTGGGATAGCTGGAGGAGATGTGAATAGTCAAAGAACGGTGCTTGAGCTTGGAGCTATGACCCGACAATGGACCTGGGAATATCACTAGCAAGGGTATCATATCTTTCACGCTGAGAAAAACTGTCATAGGGCTGATATAATAATATGGGTGTGCTTAGTGACGGTGGTTGTGTGTTTTTGCTTTTGTCTACATGTACCTAGTAGTCTACGTGGTTTGCAATTCTACGCTGTGGCTCTGTTTGGCTGTGACCTAGCGCAAGAACACTACAGAAACCTTGCAAAATACTTTGCGTCACTTGTTTGCCAATATTCGCATGCGAGAGCATATGCAAGACAGATTCTTGACTGACTCTATCGTCGATGGAGGTGTGCTTAGAGTTGGCGGGTAGGTGAAGCAACTTGCTTCTTTTGGTCTAAGGCATGAACAAGGTGCGTGGACATGGAGGGCGAATGGACCATTTGATGGCATCGGTTCTTTGTGTGAGGGTCGTGGCAATATGTTAATGCACGACCCTTGGGTTTATGCGTCATGGATGGCATACGACACGATTTGAATGTCACGTCGGCGGTAACCAAGCCGGTTGAGTGCTGTGGTGGTGGAAATTCCCGACGTGCAACTGGACACTTGCCGTTCAAGTCTTCGAAAGGACTCTTTCACGTGGGTTTCTTTTATCACCGTTCATCGTCATACATGGGACGAGGAGGGGCGAGGGAACGTGGAATTCTTTCCTTTGCCTGATGTGTAAATGGAAACCATGGCAGAAACATGCACAAGATGGGACTTTTGGGTGTGCGACGTGATGCGAGCAGCCGCCCGGCCCCTGTCGATCAACGGCTCCTTTGGGCGACGAAGTGGTCATAGGTCATACAAATGCCTGTATCTAACAACTGGATCGCCGGTTTTGAACAACCAGACCCAGGCCTTTGACAGGCAAACGAAGAAAAGGATCGCCCAGTGGTCGTGTTTCGGGAGGTGAACGATTCAACTCCTTGTGTAATTTTAGTATCCTGCTGGCTGCGTCTCCCAGTCCACTTCAGTTGGGCGGCGCCCATGAAGCTACATACGCAGAGCATGATCCTTTGAGCTCCCAAAGCGCCAGCATCCTGCACAACCCCCAGCATCACGAAGCAAGCCATCCCTGTCGCACGTTGCCTCTTTTTTTTCTCTTGCGTTCGCTGCATGAGAACCCATCGTCCATGTACCAAACGCGCTCTAGCGGTCGCACGGGGGGGCTGTGCGTGCGCCCACTTTCTCTCGATCCATCGGCCGAGCGTTCACTCTCTCTTCCTTCTCTCGCCTGAGACTCGTGCGCCCGGGGTTTCGCGATCCTGTGCTCCGCTCTGCCCTGATCCGCCCCGGCATTTGCGCTTAGGGAGTGCCAAAGAAATGCCCGGAAACAGGAAACAAATTAAAGGTGTTGGGCTGGCTTCTTGGTTCAACCCGGCGGACCAACCAAAGTTGCCAATCCCTACAGGTAGAGAGCGACGTATAAGTAGAGCCTCCCACGGATCGCCGGCCTGGGTCGCGAGCCTTGGGAGTTTCGTTTCGTTGCTCGACCGACCATTCTTGCCGTTTCGTCGAAGCAAGCAAAAGACAAGACTCGATACCGAGCTGTCCTCATTATGTGGTTCTCGTTCTCAACCTTCTCCGCGGCCTTGCTCGGCCTCGCATCGGTGGCTCACGGCCTGCCGGGACTCCTCCCAGACAGCAAGCTGTTCCGCACCAAGACGCCTGGGGGCACGGGATTGAGCGTCTTTGAGAGCAAGGCGACGACGGTGACGCTCGAATACGTCACAAACTCGGGCGTGTGTGAGACGACGCCTGGCGTCAACCAGTACTCGGGATACATCTCCGTGGGTGTGTGCTCGACTCGTGGCCCTCTGGTCGTCTGAGACCCTACAGCTAACAACCCCAACAAGGTAAAAACATGAGCATGTGGTTCTGGTTCTTCGAGGCGCGGAACGACCCGGAGAATGCGCCCATGGCCCTCTGGCTCAACGGCGGCCCGGGCTGCTCGTCTATGGTCGGCCTCTTCCAGGAGAACGGCCCTTGTCACTTCGTCAACAACGAGACGGAGCCCCGACTCAACCCTCACTCGTGGAACGAGTACGCCAACATGCTCTACGTCGATCAGCCCGTCGGCGCGGGCTTCAGCTACGGCGAGTACAACGTCAACTCGACCATCGAGGCCGCCCCATACGTCTGGCTCTTCCTCCAGGCCTTCTTCGAGAACTTCCAGCAGTACAGCTCGCGCGAGTTCGGCCTCTTCACGCAGTCGTACGGCGGCCACTACGGGCCTGAGTTTGCCCGTTACTTTCTCCAGCAGAACGAGGACATCGCGGCGGGTCGGGGCATCGGCGAGGAGATCAACATGGTGGTGCTGGGCATCAACAACGGCTGGATCGATCCCAAGCGCCAGTTCAAGTCGTACGCGACGTACGCGCACGACAACCCGTATCGGCAGATCCTCGACGACGATACCATCGGCCGCTTTCTCGATGCCTACGACGAGTACTGCGTGCCGGCTATTGCTAACTGCACCGAGACCGAGGGCCAGGTCGAGGCGTGCGCCAACGCCGACAAAGTGTGCAACACGCAAATGTACACCAACCTGCGCATCGCGAGCAAGGTCGACTTCAACGTCTACGACGTGCGCGTCGGCCAGGACTCGGAGGATCCGCCCGAGACGTACGCCGACTACATCACTCGCGCCGACATCATGGAGCGCATTGGCGCCCGCACGCGCTTTGCCGAGTGCGACGAGACGGTGTACGCCGCGTTTGGTGATTCTGGAGATGGTGAGTGCTTTCTCACCTGGTGGTGGTCTTGCTAGAAGCAAAGGAGGTAGTGAGAAAGGGTTGAGAGTTATCGCTGACAGAGAATGCCGCAACCTAGATGCTCGGTCGTTCGCGCCCGCACTCGTCGATGTGATACAGCACAACATCAGCACTTTGATCTGGGCTGGCGACGCAGGTAAGCGAGACCACTGCCTCATCAGTCCACAGATCGACACAGGCTAATACAGAAAACGAAAACAGACTGGATCTGCAACTGGAAGGGGAATCTATGGGCGGCAAACGCTCTAGAGTGGTCCGGCCGCGAAAGCTTCGCCGCCAAGTCGCTGCAGAACTATACAGTCGACGGCAAGATGCACGGCCAGTACAAGGCCGTCGACAACCTCTCTTTCCTTCGGGTGTTTGAGGCCGGGCACGAGTTGCCATACTACCGTGAGTGACCAGCCTTGGAGAGCAAAGTGTTTATAGCTGACGAGTGTGCTTAGAGCCTGAAACGGCACTTCAGGTGTTCAAGCAGATGATGCAGAAGAAGTCTCTGGCGTCGACATAATGAGTAATGAGCGAGACAGGTCTTATATGAGTTATTATTGTAACATCAAACATCGAATGCTTTGGGAGTTCGGATATTAATCTAATGGAAGTAATGCACCACCGTCGATCATGAAGGTTGTTAGTCGAACTCTGCAGAAAATCGACCTACATGCCTGCTCTTTACTTCATGTGACAAAGGCCACCTGATCAATGTCTCACTTCGAGGCCGTTGTGTTATGTTAAGCACAGCCATCTATCTGTCGGTAGGGTCTTCTCGTTTTCTAAGTTATTATCCTAGATGGATGGATTGGGGATGGTGATGCAAGGCAAATCACATCGATAACCGTCTGTGACAACTGTAGAGCGATGATGATGGGTACAGCCCTCAGAAACCGCAACAGAAAGAGAGTAGAGCCACCGGGACATCCACTCACTGACTCACTGAAGGACTAAAAAAGTTATTCAGAGTGACGGGCAAAAAAGAAAGCTTGCCCCCGGCCAGGATCGAACTGGCGACCTTGGCATATCCTCAGAAGATTCAGAAAACATAAGTACCAAGCGGTAACCACTCCGCCACGGGGGCTTGAACTTAAGTCCCCAACGCTGAAGCAAGTGGAGTTTAGCGTCAGACGAGATTATTGTGTACTATAAAGATGGATTGGTGTCACATGCTGTAGGTAGCCTTTTGGGTGAATCTGTATTTCTGGTCGAAACCCTCGATGGGCCCAACACATTGATAGTAGAGAATGAGGCCCACGCGCTCGGTTTGGAGGTCTTATTGAGGGCCTGAAAAGCCTAGGGTAAAAAGCTTTTACCGTTTGGGATGCAAGGAGGGAACGATGAAGGAGTGCGCCTCATGGGAGACAAGGAGAAAATCTCCGACTTACAAGACACAAATGGGTCCTGTAATGACTTTCGGGGTCATATTTTGACGCACGCGAAGCCACTGCTGGGAATATTGGTCCTCTTCGCATTCGGCATGATTGTTTAAAAGAAGAAATATTCACATTGTAGCTACGGCAGCAAAGAAATCCAACTTGAACAAATGCCGAGGAGGAATTTTACTCCATTCTCCACTTCGCTCTCGCTCCACACATCCCCGTCCCGTCCCCCCGAGCCAACGCCTTCCGGATGATAATTATGATGGGGGTCCGGCAGAGCACCCTGCACCCGGTGCGGTCGGTCGTCACTCACGTTTGATCTTGAAAACGCGCAATTTGATTGAGATTCCAAAAGTATATCGGGCTCTCGGATAAAAAGACGTGAACGTGGTAGGGGTTGGTTGGATGACAAGCGCCATTTAAACTTGGGGACATTTCTTGGGGATCGAGTGACACTTTAGATAGACATCTCAAATTCGATTTATATATCTCGTCATAGACATTACTTCCCACTTCAAGCAAGACGTGTACGGTGGGGTATCTAGCTAAACTCTTATACCAAAACATTCATCATTATCCAACTTGTTTGTCCAAATCAACTCCATACCGTTGCTTGCTGGAGCGATCGCCGCCATACTCGACCCACCACGTAAGTGCGTAAACGTACTGTTCGAACACGCCGAGAATCTTCAGCTCCTTGTCGTTCCTCCACTCAGCGCAGGGGGGAATGATCCGTGTCGATGCCATCTCGCTGCCCGCCAACAGCGTCGCGGTGCCGGCGATGGAGCACGGGTTATGCGGCAATACTTCGCGGATGCGGATGAGCAGCGTCATGCCGACAGCGCACGCGACCATCAGCGCCAGCATCACCTGGAGGGCAATTTTGGACGGCCGATTCTGCCTCAGGCGTTGGTGGCCCGTCGTTGACAGAGTGCCCGTAAAGGACGGCAGCTTGGAGTCGGCCGCTGTATTGTTTTTGCGCATGTTGAGTGAAATCGCTTGTGCCATGTATGCCTTGTACAGGTCGTTCGATATCGTCGTCAAGTTGTCCGTGTTATTTGAGCCTAAGAGCTCGTCGAGCGGCTGCCCGTTCTTGCCGTACACGAGAGCCCTGACGAAGGAGTCTACATCGTTGTAGAGGTACGAGCTGTTGTCTGGGCCGGCGATGGTTCGGTTGAAGACGGAGTCGCTGAGGCCCAGCAGCCATGCGTTGGGGGCGAACTCGAACCTCTCGCTTCCGCTGGAAGTTTTCAGCGTTTTGGCTGTAGACTCGTCGGGTTTGGGCGTCGACGCGCCCGCGAGATCGAAGCCCGGGAGAGTCCAAGTAAGATTCGTGTTGACTTCTTCGATATTCTGGTAGCAAAGGAGCGTCCCAAAATCGTGTTCAAAATCCCACTCCGTCGTGTTTCCCACCCTGTTCCTCTCAGTCGCTCGAGCTGATCCAAGGGTGACTGCAAAGGTCGGACACCCGAAGCCGCCTGTTGTTAGACCATTGACGCCCATGCCGGTACCGCTTGTAGGATCGGTATCGAGTGCGCCATCAGCCAGGATGCCTGAGCTGGACCATTGGATGATGGAAGCCTTGCCGACATATGCTGGAGACAAGTCATATGGAAGCCAAAAATATTGCATCCAGAAGGCTGCCGTGGAGTTCTCAGAAGGCGGTGTTTCGCACCATTCAGAGTAATCCAGTGTAGTGTTGAAGCCAGCATATATGTAGCCCGGCCTCGGTGAGTAGAATGAACTCCCGCCTGGCAGTGACGACATGGAATTCCCATCTTGATCGCCATAGATAATTGAAACCTGGCGGGACTCGCTTGGGATTGTTGTGCAATTCAAGCTCGCTCGTGTTGCCGGTACTTCAACGACCAACGGGGCTTGAGAACTCGAGCTGCTCACTGCTGCATCCCGGACTCTGAAGCGATTGAAGGTAAGTCCTTCATAAGTCCACTGAGGATAACTCAAGTCGAGGTATTCGATCAAACTGTCAATTGCGCTGGCCTGACCGTCCTCGAGCGATATGTCGACGTCGTTGAGGTTGAATGTGTCGGCCTGATAGATGGTAAGCTCTGCAACGTGAGGAATATCGACAACGCTGTAGAGACCAGAAACTACAATGGTGAGGAAGCCTCCCACAAAGTTGGCAGCCAGAGCAACAAGAACCGCAAAGTGTCTTGTTTTTAATGAAAGGAACGCAGCATGCGGCAAGAGTTTTCCAACCAAGTTCAGGTGAATGGATCTGTCGGCGCTCGCTTTGCCACGCCTAAGGGCATCGTACGGCGCAAAGACAGCTGCCATCAACTCTAATGCAGTGTACATACTGGCGACCCCCAACACAACGGCTGCTGGGATGTAGGTTGCGAACGCCGCTACATCCGATGGTCCAATTTTCATGAACCCGGAGTTCTTGTCAGAGAAGTGCTGGACAATTTCTAGGGCCACAATCAGAAGCAGGGGTAGGCCGATAGCCAAAGCGAGGAACCAAGGGTAGCCGGACATGGGACGCCACCAGGAAATGGCCTGTTCCGCCGGCTCCGGGCCTTCAAGCGATGCCTCTTTGCTGTGAGGTATGGGCTCTATCATAAGCGTTGGCTGCGGCCCTGGGATGATTGCACTGCGAAAGTTGAAGGCTTCGAGCCGTTTCCGAATCTGGCTCCGGCGCGATGTCCCCATGTACATCACCGTTTGCTGCAACGGGGGACTGGCCGCTAGCATTGTAGCGGTGGCGGCGATGGATCCTGGCTCTCGAGGAATAACGGAGTGAGGACGGACAAACAGCATCCCGATGGCCAGCAGCGTGAGAATGGCCAGGAATGTACATATGAAACCCGTTGAGAGGGACTTGACGTGTAAGCGGTCTTCGGTATACGTGATGCTGCCCGCTAACTGCTGATCGGCCGGTTTTAGAACTAGCTGTCGTAGAGCCTGAGTAGCGATACCCTTGAAAACGCTTTTCCCCGTCTCGACGAGTAATTGAGGGTCTAGGAAGGAGCTGAGGGGCGAATTACTATTGAGCATACTCATGAGCTGAAAGAAGGTTGGGACTTGTTCCGACAGGACGTAGTCGTCGCCTCCGGTTCCGAGATAAAACAGGCCGGCTGACCTGTACACCCCCATGGCAAGGGTGCTAGCAGGAAGCCCCTTGACCAGCTTTTCGGACGGCGAGGCGGCAGACGACAGCACCGCTTGAGAAGTCCCGTTTAGAACGCTCGAGCTCTGTACTCGAAAGGGTTGCAGGTTGTACGAGGGCTTGCAGAGAGCGACCTTCAACTCATTGACGTAAATGTACCGAGGGGCGGTTCCTGAGGACTTGGATGGTGAGAAGCGCAGATCGGCCATCGAAAGGACGACGCGTTGATCCGCGCTGGTGTTGTACACCATGTCGTACTCTGGAGTATCGGCGCTCTCAATGTACTGAGTGGAAAAGTCCCAGTCGATATTACAAGGATAGACCTTGAATTGGCCTTGGTAGTTTTGAGAGGCATTTGGTTGATGATAATAGTTGTGATCCGGGCCAACTCCCACCGTGATCCCGCTTATATTGCACTCGGGAGTGGTAATATTGGCAACAAAGAACGAGCCGAGGACACTGTACCATGGCATGCTTGTCTGCGTTCCATTGGTGATGGGGAGGACCTCGCAGTCGAGGTCAATTTTCATGCCCTCTGTCGTCACGGTGTAGTTGAGATCGCTGTCGGTATGGTCTGGGAGTTGAAATAGCGGCAGTAGCGTGTCCTCGGACGTTCCAGTAGGGTAGTCAAGCCCCTGGAAGTGAATGCCATAGTAAAGTTGGGATGCCGCGGGGCCGATCTTGAGTCCCTGATCATTTTCTGGGTCGTCAATCTTAAACTGGCCCTTAACACTGAAGTCGTTGCTTTCTTTGGTGACTTGAGTAGACTCTAGGATTAGCAAGCCTGTGGAGAAGATGGTCTAGGTTTGTTAGCGTTAGTCCTTGCGCTGAGAAGGATTGCTGGAATGCTGGAACCTACGGTGCCTAGAATCAACAAGTGTCCCACAGTCGACATGACAACAGCCCAGTGGCGATTCTTGATAGCAGCCCAGAGGGCCGTTGGTAGAATTGGAGAGATATAGTCCAGGAGCAGCGTCTTGGAGACGGGAGCCGGGCCTTGCTGGAGTTCTTTCCAGGGCATGAGTATCTTGTTCTGGTGGTCGACTTGCTTCCAGAGGGCACCAACCACAACAAGCACTGTGAGGGTTAGGACATGGTTGACCCGAACACGCCGTGACGGGACTACACTCACATGCTGTTGGACCGTACTTCCATCCATAATGATTGGCTTCTTTTTGAGCACTGATGCCATTGTGCTCGAGCGAGAAATGATACAATAGGCCCGTAGCCAACGCCATGGATGCGAACCAAGCAGCAAACATTACGAGGACGGATTTAGTCAACCAAAATGGCGTCCACATGTGCTCCTTTGCGCCCTCCGGCCATCCTGGTGGTGGTGGCGGATACGAGGTTGGGTGCTGCATATCCCCAACTAAGGCGGTGGTACTGTTGGATCCCCAATTCTGCTGAGACGGGGAAGGTTCCGGGACAGGCCCATTGCGAACATATTCATCACTCGCTCGTAACGGGGAAACGGGCTGTGGAGCATAGGTGCCGATATCTTGGGTGTCTACGATGAGGCCGTATCCGTGACCTCCACTGGCGGCCACGGAGACTCTGGAAACGGGCCGG